CGAACAGCCATGTCGCACATATATGATGGTCGAATTCTTTCGCTATATGAATTAGTTAGAGGATTGTAGGCGATGATATCGAAAAAAGATGAATCTACTTCATCCAAAGATGGATCTGGTTGATCGAGAAGACTAAGATAATCCATGTGAAGAATGGTTAATACTGCATCATAATCGTCAGGTAAACGAATGAAGATATTCTGTGTAAAACGGCATGGAAAACAATCTAAGATGAAACGAAGCTGTTTGATATCGATATTGGGATGAATAATGAAATGTCCATGATCATCACGTGCGGCTTCAAAGAAATCAGCAGAAGAAACAAATGCAGCTAGATAAGGTATTTTGCTGATTTGATTCTCAGTCAGTGTCAAGACATGGCCATTGCCAAAACGAAATGACTTGTGTGTTTTTGGTAACAGTCTATTATGGATGTTCATTTGGGTCGTCAATGAAAATTTGTGATACTCATATTGACTACACGGTCAAATATTTATACGTTCTACTTCCGACGTGCAAGTTGGAATTCTCCATTTGATAAACTCTGTTAAATGAGTCATCACTTGGTTTTTCGTCTTTTTTCGTTTATTTTGGTTTCAACAATGTATCTTACTTGAATTCAACATCGTGAACGGTTGCCTGAATATTTTCGAGAATCTTAATGAAAATACCAATTATTATAGATCGGAGGATACCTATTCACTTTGAAGATACTACAGCGCCTTCTCCTTCACATTGTGATGTGTGTGGATATATGGCACACCAATCAGTGATAAATATATCAAAGGGTGAATGAACAAGGCTTCAAACAAACTGAGTATTTTTATGAATTAAATTTGTTTTAAGTCAATCGCTGTCCCCACTGAAAGAATAAATCACTAACGGGAATGCAAAGCATCTTTTGATGCAGAGCAAGTTTATGGATAGACGTCGCTGTCATACAATCGCATATGATAACATAATACTCATAGAGTGGCAAATTCTAAAGGATTTGAATTCTGAGAAGTTGCATAAGTTTTTTCAGATAAGTTGGAATTTCTGCGGTTCATATTCACGTTGATTAGAAAATTAGATACCAGAGATGTATCAAACATTTCTGTTTCAACAGGACTTAAGACTTTGAAGAAAAAATGAATAAAGCATGAGAACGCGTTGAATAGTATAAATTATGTAAATAGTTATAATATGATCGATTGAGTCTCCTTTCATTGTATTTAAACATTCATTCTCAGATATTTGTGGCACGTGTTGTAAAGGATGTGGGCGTAGGTATACGTTAAGTGAAAATATCCTCGTCCTCATCCTCACTCACATCCACACCCACCCTCAAATAAAGTCTGATATTTGATTGTTTAACTCTCTAAAATTTCTTTCCAAAAACGATGCACGAGATAGCAAGTACACTGCCAATGATGCAAAGAGCAATCAAAATACGAATAAATGTGTTGTGTTTACCTTGGAGATGTTTAATGACAAAACTAAAGGGAGTGAGGTGGGTGTGGGTGACGATGAGGGTACGACTGAGAGTGATGGTAAAACTCGAAAAGATATACTTCGCCCTCACTCGACATTCATACTCATATCTACCCCAACACCCACATCTACATTCTCATACATACTCAGGCCTACTCTCATCCACACCGCACCTACTATCACTTCCAAGTGCCCGCACTTTCTCCCTTCGGAATAAGCGAATTTTTAATGAGATAATGTCCGAAAGATAAAATTCTTGGATAAGATTAAGGAAAAAAGCCCGATAGCGAAGGTAGATTTATTCTTATTGTCAATTGTATGATGATTTCCATTATTGATCAGTTCATTAGCATTTTTAGTTCAATTTTTATATTAGTCTGTCGTTATATCATAGTCGTCGTCAACCAGATTATTTTGTGGATCATTCCAATTCGGTTCGAAGTTTGCAGGTAATGCCTCAACGTTCGATGGATAGAGATTTTTATCATAATGTTCTTGGTCAACCATACCATAATGTGCGTAACCTAAAATAACAACGTGCCGAACGATCATCCAAGCACGTCGCTGTTCAGCAGGAGGGATAGTCTCATCACACGCTTTTCCTTCAGTTGAGAGGTGACGCAAATTATCACACCAATCTGGATGATATTGATCGTAAAATTTTTGCAAAGGGGAGATCTCAAGGTCACCAATGAACATCCCACCTGTGTTCCACCTTTGATAGCAAAGTTCTAAAACGGGTGTATGTAACTTGTAGTATTTCCTTCCATAAAATGCTTCAGCAATATGATGACCAGTTGCATATGCGGGTGTGGGTGTGGAATGAATAGAATACTCACACCCACACCCACACCCACACCCACCCTGAAAATATTTCAATTTTTACATGAGAAAAAATAACAAGATTTAGATCTAAAGAAGATTTTCATGGAGTAAGTTTTAGTCAATTTTAAATTTTATAAATCATTATATTAAAGTCAATTAATGTCAGATGAATTATTAAATCAAGATCTTTTTAATGCACAAGTTAAAACTGATATTTCTATATTTCAAACAATAACAAGATCATATTTTCTTCGTTCATTAACGTCTATGCGTTCATTTATAAATAGAAATAAACTTTTGACTACTTCTTTAACATCTGCTACTACAAGTGTTTTACATGATAATACAATCACATCATATGGATAAGTTTAATCAATAACAAAAATTATTGTTGATTTTTATTTTGAAAAGTTTCATTTTCACATAGCACTATTTGATTGACTATTCTAGTTTTCTGGTTATTCAATTAGGATCGAGTCATATATTTCTTAGTAGTGATTGATAAACTCTAATATACTCTATTGTGTTGATTTAGCTTATATAAGTCATAGAACAATTTTGAAATTTTGATTTTTCAAATTTGAAAATTAGTATCAATTTTAAATGAGTTTACTTCTTTTCCATATGATATCATACATCGTTGTACTACAATGAGAAATTTAAATGAAAAAGTAAGTAATGTAGTCAATGTTGAAAATTTTAATTTAATGGAAATTTTCGATCTTTATTCGATCATTATCAACCTTTTAACATAACCTTATAACTGATGTTAACAAAAAAGAAACTCTAAAAATATGAACACGAACATAAGCATAAAACATGAACACAAATTTAGAAAAACTATAGTCATAACACATCATAATTATAATTATTAATTAGATTTTCAACATAAAACTACAAAACTTACTTTTCATTTAAATTGATTAAAATCTCAAGATTATTATTATTTTTCATACATAAAACGAGAAATATATTCATGTACATTCTACTATCGATTTTGTTACATTAATTTATTATTTTGTAAGTATAATAAAAGATGTTTTTATAATTTATGCACATGGTGAAAATAAATGTGTTGT